TAACACAAAACTATTTTAGAAATATTGTTCTAAATGTCACACAGATAAAATATGATTATTTAATTTTTTTTAATTTCTTTATATTTTAATATTTTGGTATGAGTAACGAATGGAAACACATAAAACATAAAAATATACATATTTCCAAACATTTTCATATAAATTTCTCTAAAAACAAAAGTGTAGAATTCAAGTTAGTAGTAATTTTGTCACTAAAATTGAAGTATATACCACTATACAGCTATACAGGGTAATTTACGTATTTTATTACAATTTCTAGCAACCAAAAATAATTTTATTCGATAGTTTATACATTCAACAAGAAATCCTGTAAGTTTTATCCATAAATATTGTCTCAAAGTGAAAATATAGCAAAATTTGCAATATAGCAAAAAATTTGCTAATTTGCAAATTTTCCCGCCATTACGGTCCCGAGCGAACGGGAGTATAACATGTTGCGCGCTGTCAGAGCGAAGGGGTTAAAAATGTTGAAATTCTAATTTACTTACAAATTATGTTATAGAAAAATGTGAAATTAACTAACCACTATTAGGTATAACCCTCAGCATTGACCTTGTTCTTCATCATTCGGTTTCATTGGAAGTAATATTAACTTAGACAATGGTCTCTTAAGAATGTTATCTCCCTTGCATTGCACTGTTGCCACGCGGACGAGTTGATCAGCGCCAGAGTGTGGTGTCATAATTTTTTCTAATAATCATTTCGCTGGTGGGAGATCATCTTCCTTAATGATTACGATATCTTCAACACATGGAGACGGCACTGTGTCTTGCCATTTATGCTGTGCAGTAATGAGTGGAGATATTCCGATTTCCATCTCCGCCAAAAATCTTGCATCCCGTTTTGTAAGAATTGCCATCTAGATAACATACTTACGTTTTCGTGCTCATAATTTATGTCTGGTATATTAATTATTGGCTCACCAATGAGAAAATGACTGGTGGTGAGAGGATCTAGTGTTTCAGTGGTGTTTTCGGAATGATGGGCGGGGGGGGGGGGGTGGTAACGGAAACATGCCTAGACAGCGAATGCATCAGAGTTGTGTTGCCTGTGAGACTAATGTTTAGTGATCTAGGGTTAAATCGAAAAATGGGTTTACATTTATTTAGACAATAAAATTAGTAATATGATGTGAAAAAAAAATACATAAACTTAAGGCTAAAAGAATACAAATTTAAATTTAAAATAGGCTATATTTATCTATTTATCTCGGCGTGGTCGCTGGATATCAATGTGAACCCCATCTCCATCGGTTCTACCTGAGCCGGTGACAGCTTCAGGCGCTTTGAAATCTCCTTGTGAATAGATTTGCACATATAATCGGGTACAACCGCTTTATCAGCGTTTCTATGAGCTCGTGCCCCTACAGTTGGTTGGCGAGAAATCTCGCCCGTTCTAGTTGAAGGCTGGGCCGCTTGTCTTTCCTGTCAGCCAGTGGTGACGACGGCACCCACACGTGGTAGCCCGTCACGTTTGTCTATGTTACTGCTTTTCTTCTCCCGGTCAGTTAGCTGCAGACCGAAGGCACTGAGTCCCTTAGCCAGTTCCCCACGATTACCAGGATGCTACCTTAGCATTTTTATGGAATTGTTTAAGATGAAAGTAGTTACAGGCAAGGATTGAATACCGGTACCAATTTCGGTTCTGGTTCTTCATTTAGGTTCATATAAAGGTTCCTCTTTTCGGTACGGTTCCAGTTCCGGTATCGGTTCCGGTTTGGGTTCCGATGTACCGGTTCTAAATACCGGTTCCGAGAACCTTTATATCGAATGATATTATACCGGTTCCTTGTCACCCGATTTAAAGATTACTTACGGAAGAGGGGATGCGTTGGGAGCGTGCTTAGCATACCATGCCTTTTCTTTTGGTTCGCCTTCGCTCTTCGTAGTATTAGAGGGTACTATTCTATACGATATACGAGTAAATAATTATTATTGTGACTAATTAGGTTATATTAAAATGGATAAAAGGTAAGTGTCTAATTTCAATGTTTTGTATTCATTAAGATTGTAGCTGCATTCATACTTTACGGCGTATATTAACTATAATGTTCTTGTAAATATGTACGAGTATGTATGTTTGTATTTGATCAGTATAATTGCAACATATGTACCTTGCATGTAATTGTTTATCCAATTTATGTCATATTAATAGGCAATTTTCAATAAACCATTCAATTACATAATGATTTCTTATATTTACGCGAACACTACACATTGAAATAATACTAGTTTTTACGGAATGTATCGCGTATATTTAACTTTTTAAATACCCGACGTTTCGAAAGCTTTACAGCACCCATGGTCACGGGAAGGACTGAGATGTTCAACGTCCAGCTGTCATAGTTAACCGCGGTTACCATAGATTAAAATTTAACTTTTGTTCCGATCTAAACAGTATGAACTTATGGTATCATGGAGTCTTGCAGTTGTATGCTTGGGTTGGGATTTAATTTTATCTATTATAGGATCCCAAGTAGATGGTAGCACCCAGCCATCTTCTCTATTGAAATAAGGATGTTTTTTGATTTCAATAGCCTCGCGAATCATCCTTGGAAGGAATCGGTGTTCTTTAGCGAGGATTTGCGGTCTATCAAATCTGATGTAGGGACGGGGGCGATCCTGTACATGTTCACAGACTGCAGACTTCCCGTCCCGACATGTACAGGATCGCCCTTATTCCAGACTGTTCTCGTGATTGGTCTCTGTTTTCTTTATATACTTATTTTCTTACTTTCAGGAATAAAACGTACCTGTATTATTCTCGATACAGACGATGAATTGAAGCATTTGATTAAAAAAATCTTAAGGAGAAATGTCAACTGACTGAAGATACGGAAAAAAATAAAAAATGAATGTCTATTGCACTACAATGATGTTGTTTTCTCAACTGATTGAACAAAAACTAAAGAATATTAAACCATGCATCAGGACTAGGTGTTACATCGACATACTTGAGTATTTACGGTCAGCAAAAGGAATTCATAATAAAGATTTAGAGAAGTCATAATCTAAATAATTACAAAAAGTGAGGGTGTTTTCTTTTTAAAATAACGAACGAAAAGTAATTTCAAGTGTGATTATTAAATAGTTAATTACATTAGTAAGTTTCTATATTTTCTTAAAAAATAAAAATATTATGATAAGTATATTAAAAAATCTTTTATTTTATAATTGACAATTTAACATTACATAAAACTCGTTCGTTTATCAACGCTAGATAATTATTATTATAGACCTCTCCTCACATTGGCGCAGAGTTGAAGCATCTCGTCGCAACCGCTCAACATTAACCAAGACGCGAGGAGGAGCGCGTCTACGCGCGAATCCATATTTTCATAACACAAATTTGTTTCTTAATAATGGGAAAATAGATATGAATATGCTGTAGGCGAAAAACTAGACTCGAAAAGCTTCGACTCTGCGCCAATAAGTATAAATCCTGTGTAAACTTACACAATATAGTATCGCAACAAAACATTTTCATTCATGTTTCGATCAAAATTTGAATGAAACTGTACTGTCGCGACTGTTTGCGCGGGCCTTAATCCGACGTAGGCCCCGATTAACATAATATTATAATTTATATACTCTAATATTTTTTCTATTTTTATCAAAATATGTCCTAAAAACAACAGCAATTTGCAAAATACGTAATTTTGAACTTAGCGTCAAACATACAAGAAAGGGATTGGAATATTAGAAGACCTGACAAACAATATTTTATATAAGTTTACTTAGATTACATCATTAGACATCTGAATATTCATTCTATCCAGATGTAGTTTTTAAGAAAAATGTCATAAAAATTGTTTGTCAGGTCTTATAATATTCCAATCCCTTTCTTGTTTTATTGGTAAGTATAAGGGAGAAATAACCTATTCTAAGCTTAGTAATTGATGCGGAAGAGAATCGGGGATATGTAATTATGATCATAGTCAATCATCATAGTCATATAGGTTTATACACTTCAAACATAATAATAAGATCTATACTATGATGAAAATTATCAAACTGTTTCATTATCTGTATTATTTCTTAAGAATAAAATATCATCAATTAAGTCACTTTTTAACATCGTCCGAAGTTTGTTGAATACAAAATTCAAAGAGGAAAATAACCTCTCTACACTGACTTGTGTACTAGGTGCAGCCAGTACTATCTTTGATAAAATATACAGGTCAGGTAATATATTTTTTTGCTTTCCCAAAATAATAAAATATTTTTGCTCACAGGAAGGCGCACCTGTTTGTTTAAAAATTCTTTCAAGTCTATTTTGATATCTGAATCGCCTCCAGCGCAGCCATAGCTTAGATCTCCTCGCAGGGTATTATTATATGACTGATCCAAGAAATCTTCTAGCTGAGAACCTTCATTTTGCTGCTGCGTTGAAGTAGAGGCGACAGGAGAGCTAAGCACTGTACTATCACGGTCTTGTTTATTTAATTTGCGCCACCTCATCCGTGCACTAACCAACGCTTTTTCTGCAATCTGCAGTTGATCAGTGTTCAACAGGAAGTTAACACGTAGATCCGTATATAAAGCTGCGACAAACGCTTTGGATTCGAACAGGACTTTTTCCCTAATTTCCATGTTGCGATGTAATTCGCACGCGAGGGTGGTGTTTATCGCCTTAAGCTCTATTTTGCAATTTATCAAATTAAGGTAAAAGTCACCCATGGTCAGTTGTTCCATTTGTAACTTTTTAGTCAAGATGTTGCTTGGTTTTAAAGAGGCTACAGTAATCTCAATTGAATTCCACGTAGTTTTGGACAAACAGAGCTCATAATTCTCTGTACATATTGGCCGAAGTTCTAGTAGCCGAGTGAGCATATCATCGTCGAACGTAAAAAAATCGAACTCCAACGCGTGGGGCAATCCACCATAGGTCTTTTAGCCCCCATTCTTTTTAGTAAGTGTTGGTACACTGTGGTGCGTAACTTTTTTATAACCTCACGCGCATTTGTGAGCATCGTCTGAATGGATGAAGATTCACTCCCTAAAGCATCTTGTACAGCTAACTGCAACGTATGTGCAGCACCCCTAATGCCGTGTAATGTTCACTTTCTAAGTAATCTTCGATAATAAAATTTACTTCGTCACTCGTCATCTCCATTATTTCATTCTCGTCATCTGAATCATCCTCATTTTCTTGTATGCTAGTTTTTAAGGCTTGTTCCACTAATCTGACCATTTTCAGCATATTTGCTCCATTATCAGTGGTTATGGAATAAATTTGGGAGATAGATATCCTGAACCGATTCAGCACATAAATTAATTGGTATTTTAAAAACTCGGCTGTATGTCTTTGGGTGAGTTCAGTCACACTTAATGTTTTGATAACTATCTGGTCATTTTCGATGAACTGCGGGTTAATTCCCAAAAAACTTCGCAAATGGCATGATGCGATGTCTAATTTAAGACTTATAAGTTATTTTTAAATCTTTGAAGCAATATCATCACGCAAACTTTACCTTTTTTTCAAATTTGGATTAATAAAATTAAGAATCACTGCAATCAAATGGCTACATTTCATAACTACAATAAACTATAAAAATAATTACTTATTAACGAATTGCGTACGTTAGTACGATTCGCCAGTAGATTGCTGTGTTGATTCCAAGCTTTGCATTTGGCCAAGTTGTATAAGTTCATCCCATGGAGCTGGCAATAGCACTTCTGGGTCATCAGGTGGAAGTTGTTCTCCTCGTCTGCGCAACATGTTGTGAAGTACTGCTGTGGCTATGATAACAGTTAGTGCTTTATCTAATTTTACTCGCATCCCAAGTGCCAACAGTGGAAATCTTCTTTTCCATACACCATAGCACCTTTCTATAGGATTTTTAGTACGAATTTGTGACTAGTTCTTTATTTTATTTCTACTAGTCACAAATTCGTACAGTTGTTCAGCTGGTGTCCTTGGATTTTCTAATGGAGTCATAGTGTAACTCTTTGCAGCATATCTTCTGTCCACAAATAATAATGCATTACCATAGCGACCAGTCTTAAAATGTGCTTTTTGAACGCTATTATTAAATATAGTGCTGTCATGAGTTGAACCTGGCCATCTTGCGACTATGTCGGTTATTTCTAAATTGGCATTACATATTGTTTGCACATTAATGGAATAGTATCCTTTTCTGTTTCTAAATGTCTCTGCTTGTTCTCCACCTACTTCCAATCTTAAGGGAACGAATGTGAGGCGAACGTGTGTACAGTCCATGGCTCCAACTACTCTTGGAAAACGAGCTATTTGGTATAATTTATCTTGTTCATATCTTATTTTTTGAGACGATTCAGGAAATTTCATGTATTCTGTATGTAATGCAGCTATTGCAGCACTAACTCTGTGTACAATTTTGTTTGCTGTCGGTGTACTTAGACCACGGTAGTCTCCAATGCTTGTTTGTGTCCAGTTTGTTGCATAATATCTCAAAGCGGCCGACAACTGATTTACTGGAGATATTGAAAAATTTCTGAAAGAAAAAGGAATTTTAGATAACATAGGTACTTACTACTCCTACTGCTACTACTTACTATAATATTTTAGTTTTAAATCTGAGCGACACACATAGCTTTTAGAAAAAATATATCTAGGTAGGTGTGTACCATTGTTTATGTAGACAAATATATAGTGAAGGTGTGTACATACCGGTTTGATGTATATTCCAGTTGATGCTCGATTTTGGATAAAAGACACAAAGCAGCTTCTTTGGACAATCGAAACCTTATTACGAAGTCACGGTCATCATAGTTATCGAAATAATTGTTCCTTTCTCTTATCCATCGTGGACGCCTTGGAATGTATTCTTCATCACTGTCAGAATTTTCGATTATATTTCGTAAACGTTGCATTATTTTTAAAAAAAATAAACCCTACTATTATAACAAAAGTACAAGAAATTATAAATGCACAACGATAAAATTTCCTACTTTTAAACAAAGCATACGAAAACAGCTGTCAAAATGTGGCGGTCGCCATTAAAATACTCTTTGATAACTTGTTTAGGTACTCCATGAATTTTGGCAGTATAGCGATTTACTCTCCGATGGTCAGTTATACCCGGGTTAAGATTTGGTAAAACGAAAAGTTCTCTAACTCTAGAGTAATTAGTGCTTTTATTCGCGGGATAAGACTTATTTACTTCGGTCGAATCCGCCCTAAAAATACAGCCACACACCTATTCTAATGTTCCTCTTCTTTAAAGCGACAATTTCATTTGGTACAAATTGCCAGTTGGTTCACTAACGCCCGAAATTAATAATCAATCCTGATCCAATTTTTGCTATCCTAGATTGGTATTTTAATCCATTTTACGGGTAAAGCATGCCAATAAACGATCCGTGCATTGAATTTGCTATCTTTAAAATCAATCTATCCTATAGAGGGCGGATCACAGAATAACCTCCAGAAGAATAGCCTCTGTTCGAAAATGACAGTTTGTGCATGTATTATGCACAAACTTATCTTTCCATTTTGACGTTTGTTTTGACCGGTGTAAACGATCGCTGATTGCAATCCAAGAAATACCGGGGATTTCGTCACAGCGTTGATTTTACTAAAGAAAGAAAATGGAAATATCGATATTTTCTAGTGATAGTGATGATAGTGATTTGGATGTGCTGGCTCAGTTATCCGATTGGGATACTGATAGCGACGGATAGACACCGCGCTTCTTCACGAAAAATTAGAAGAGTTAACTTCACGCAGAGCCTGGATGATGCCGAGTTTACGTTTAAATTTAGGTTATCCAAACCTGCTTTCACATCACTTTTAATGAAATTGATGATGTTTATTCGTGTAACCTCAACAAGGAAAATAGTTTTGGAGATGATGTGAAACATTAAATTAAACACAAAGCAATTCAGTTTCAAAACATACAACAACATACAACTTACGTAGGTATTCAGTAATGGTTTTAAATTTTCAGGAACAATGGAGTTTCACCACTCCATCAACTTTTATTAACACTACGATTTTATGCATTAGGCACGATGCTAATTTCTGTAGCTGACTTTGTTGGAGTCTCTATATCGACAGCTGGCAGTTCGTGATATATCATCAGCAATTGCCAACTTGTATAATGAATACATTTTAGTACACCAACAAAGTGCTGAAAAATTCTATCGTATTGAAGGATTTCCTAGAGTTCTTGCCGCAATTGATTGCACTCATATACGAATCCAATTGCCATGTGAGTATTTCCTAATATTTTATTGGGTAAATTTGTTTTCTTATCGTAAATATCATTTATAAAACACTATTTTACTATATTAGGTGTGTGGTACGGCTACGCTTTAACATGTACTACAAATGGGTTGGCTCGAAAGAGGACGAACTACACTCCCACGGAATACCAGTGTTAAATATGCTGTGTAAAATATGATAAAGAGATATTTTATCATAGTCCTCAGGGGTGACAATGCATCTACATTTTAATCTTAAATGTAGAACTAAGGTAAGTCTATAACAGCATCTTCTTACCACCAGGTGAACAGCATGCTAGTTTTTCAATCTTATTCTATATTATTCTCTTATATTATGTTTTCTTCTAGGTCATGTAATTGGTGAAGAATTTAGGAATCGTAAAGGTTACTTTTCCTTAAATGTCCAAGCCATCTGTGATGCTGATTTGAGATTCATGAATGTGATTGTCCGTTGGCGAGGCTCGACACATGATGCCACAATATTTAACAACTCAATTCTTAGTGGTTTCTGAGTGGTTTAATAGTTTTGTTAGCTTTTCTTATATTTCAATGTTATAATAATTTAATTAAATATGTCTATTTACGGGACAATGTGATGCGGGCCTGTTTGGTAACCGCTGGATGCTTGGTGACAGTGCTTACCCAAACAGGCCATATTTGTGAACACCTATTATAAATTCTGTTACTGAGGCCGAAAAGCGCTATAATGAAGCACACACAAAAACTAGAAGTAATGTTATTGAAAGGTAACTACTTTGTTTATGTCTAACAAGTATTAGGTATTTTATTTTTAGCAGAAAAGGGAAGGTTCTTAATTCTACCATATTAATAAAAATAAAAAATCGTGTAACGATCTTCTTCTAATATACATTCATCTTTTTCTCAGAACATTTTGTGTCTGGAAGCGTCGCTTCCCTGTTGTGGCATTAACACTGCGTTTATCATTGCCTAGGGTTCAGGCAATAATAATTGTTACCGCAGTGTTGCACAATATTTGTAGGAACCACAATTTAGAGGATGTTCCTTCAGAAGTGGAGCTACCAACAGCGGAAATAATGATGAAGTGTACTATAAGTTCAAGATGTTAGTGAAAGAGCAGCCCTTATAAACAATTATTTTATATAAATTAAATACTTTTCAAATCAATGTTTGCTTTATTATAATTATATAAATTTTTTAACCTGTTTTGAAACCATAAATCAATAATGTCAAAAGTTCATATGTCTCAATTTTAATCCTAAGAAAACCCCATGCTACAAAAAAGAACAAGCCTACCTTAATCCAATTACTGCCCAATTTCATAATTATTTTTTTTTTCAAAAATTTATTTGAAAAGATAAAAATATAAAGGATTTATATTAACACAATTACTTCACAAAAACATAACTATGGGTTGACTAGTAGAGAAAACCTAACAGCATTGACTTTTTATTCTTTTGTAATAGGGAATGTAATAAATGCAAATTTAACTTATTCTAATGATTATTGAATTTATACAAATATTTTAAAATATTGTTTAACTTGGTCGAAAATAAGTTAGACCTTATAATTATATGCATTATTAAAATTTAGGTGTCAACAAATAATACTGTATAAAAAAATTGTTTGCTAAAAATAACTCATTTCAGGTATTTAATTCATTGTGTTTGTAAGTTTGACTAAGTTAAACGCCGGATTTCACTGTATGCCTATAATTTTTTTTATTTAAAAATTAAAGACTGTGAAATAGGTCAAATCGGTTTATTCAAAATAACTATAAAAATAAACAATAATAAAATGGTAATGAAAACAATCATTTAATTTCATAGGTAATAATTTTATTCTTCATCACTATTTTCAATAAGGCCAATAAGGCAATAAGGCCATATTATATAAGCTGAAAACAATACCTACTTACATATGAAAGTTCCCTTAATTTTATACAATTACACAATCATTTATAGATTCAAATTTACTACCTACTACTAAGCTACAGACTAATTAAGTAATAAAGTTATTAACTACACTAGACATTATTGCTTTCTTAACCTCTCTAATTCTAATTTTAATTTCTCAGTCTCTAACGTAAGCTTTTCATTTTTCAATTTAAGCTCTAAATTATTTAGTTTAAAGTATTCGTTTTCTAAGTTAATATTGTTAATTTGGCATCCAAGCATTTTTTGTTCGCTGAATAATATGCAGCTATTTCAGTGTTCCTGGCTGCCCTGTTCTCATCTGGCTTAAATTTCTTTTTCACTGGAAAACAAAGCAAATGTGAGATCAATATAAGTGCAGTCACTTTTTTTTTCATAAAATTTATCATATAATAATACTGTAGATGCAATAATGGGATTTTGTTTATGTTTAGCTGTTCCAAAGACATCAGTGTTCATAAAATTCTATCATCTCATCTATAAGATCACAGTGTGAAGAAAAAGCAATTATATCCAACTTAGTAAGGAGGTTAACATACTTTAATGAGATAACTATTAACATAAAAGGGTCGATCTCATAAAGAAAAGGTCTTTTACACAGGAAAATCAGACTGTCAGTCAGACGGTCTGATTTTCCTGTATGTGATGTGATAGCTTGCATGGACACAATTAAATAAGCCTTACATAAATAATCCTCCACAAGGTTAAGTTAATAAATATTGTATAATATTTTTTTAATTTATTATCAAATAAAAAATTATAAATTTGCTACGCGGCACAGCGAAAAACCACACAGCTTTGTGTTGTGTGCCGTTCCGTCTACATTATTATAATACTATTTATTACAAAAATGGGGATAACAGCTAATATTTCTTAAGGTAAAAGCATTTTAATTTATACTTTATGTTAACTTTAGTAAGTTCACTTCTAAATTTATTATCCAGACCATTTATTAGGCGTATTATGTATACGCTGATGCGCTCACCATATGTATTTTTGGATGGTATTGATATTAATTTTTTTTGAGTTACTTTGCGGGTCTGAATTTTGTTTGAAACTGTATGCTGTATACCTAAATTAAAGAGTTGTTCCTTTAACAATTGATATTGGACTTTATCATGTATATTGAGTACCTTACAGAATTTAAATATAAAATTTTCATTTGTTTTCACCTGAAGTTTAATTTTTATAGGTACAATCGCATTTAAAATCCTAAGTTGTAGTTTATTAACGTACTGTAGGTGTGATTTGTCTGTTCGTCCGTAGCTGCTTAGCCCATAAATTATGACTGAATCAGCAAGAGCGTTATAAAGCATCATTTTGACTCGAAAGTTTAATCGCTTTCTAATTATAAAAGTGTTAGCCAAAAATGCTCTAAGCTTATCACATACATGATTTATATGTATGTGCCAATTGAACTTATGATCTATTATTAAGCCTAAATATTTAAAGAAAAATATAGATATACATAAATCTAAAGGAAGTAAGGAAGGTAAAAAAAACAAGAAACATTAATCAGTAATAAATCAAAAATCGACAAAACTACCATTACCTGCTCTAGGTGTACCTAATGTAAGCCTCTTGGTTTTATTAGGAGTTATCAGATTTTGGTCAACTACATCCAACACTTGGTAGTCAGCGACCACAGTCTCAATACCTTTTTCATTAGATAATGGTGTTGAGATTGTGGTTTCACTTGAATCCACTATTTGTTCTGTCTGCACCGTCACATTTCCAATATTTATTGCAACTATATTATCAGCACCACCACAAACATCAAACCAAGCCATTTCTTTATCACCCCCAAAAGGCACAGTAAACCCACTGAATGTACTTCCTAATAGACTGATCACCCGGTCTAATATGTAATCTGGGAGTATATAGTCGGCAGGACCACCACCAGTCTGCAATGAGAATATTAGATTTAACATTATTTTACAACATGTCATTAGGTCTTAGACTATAAAGATATACATGTTTTAGAAATAGATAACCTTAATTTGGTTTATCCTTATTTGGGTGCTGCGCTTGCGCGAGACTTTTTTTAAATTTTCCCACTTCAAACGCAACTGCTGTGGTGTTCTCGGACAATTCGTAGCTGTGGCATTAAACCGCTCTGCCAAACGAATCCACTCTTCAGTTTGAGTTTGTTGTTTATGGCATTGGTTGTTTTGGTGGTTATTATTTTACTACCTTCTATTAGGTCAAGCAAAAACTTCTTTTGTAAGAGGTTTGCCTTTTACTTAGTAAAAGAAAATTATAATGATTAACATCAAAGTTACAAATAAGGCGAGAATAGTAAGCGTCACAAAGAAAGCACGCTAACTTAGAAACATATTATATAAAACAATAAGTACTGACGATTTCCGAATCCATTTTACTGTAATTACTAATATATATATATATATATATATATATATATATATATATTATATATAAATATATATATATAATATATATATATATAAACAAGAGATAATGTTTTCTTGAGTGCTACACGCAAATAACTTACGTCACTACTCGCAATCAAAATGACCTATCAAAATCAAAATATATGTCAAACGTAAGACGTCTAACATCGTACGTTCCATTTCAGCTAAATAATGTCACAGTTTTAATACCAAAAATAGACTGTGAAATTATAATTTCCGTAAATTTTTAGAAATAATATTACTCGTTCTAACTACAAACATTATTTTGAACGATTTTTTAAGTAGTTACGTGAATGATTTGTTTTTAAATCACACTTAATATAGTTTTATGCAATCAATATTTTTCATCAAAAGGAACGGTCAAGAGGGATCGGATTGCTTGCAATCTGTCGTCGAAAAAAAGGACAATGGCGAAATAATATGTCAAATATTTTGAAGCGTCTTGAGTTATAATTGTTATAGGACGTAATCAAAAAAATGATTGCATTTTATCAAATAAACATCAAAACTAGTACGAGCCGGAATAAAAATCACTACGTTTTTGGGGACATAATTGATTGTAATCAAATGGATATCGCTTCTGTCACTTAGTGTGACCAGTTTATAATTATTTCAGTTTCGTAGTTATAAATCATTTTCACCTCATCTTGTTGCATCTGGTTTACGATAAAATAATATAATGATTATAAATATCAGTTAAACAAAAGTGGCATAAGATTATTTAAAAAAATATGTCGTATTTTCTATATATTCTTGGAATTCAGTTTGTTTAGTAAGAGACAATATAAATGCTATAGCAACACACCTTTCAATTAGGACAGGATCGTAATTACGTTTCCGTTACGTCTCGCCCACTCACACACATCACACACTGCTCTCGCGCCGTTTGTGTTGCTTGTGTTTTGTGTTCTTGGTTTTGTCTTTTTGATTTCCTTATTTTTATTCGACCTGGACTGCCACTGGATTTTCCGATATTGATTTTCTATTGTGTGAATATTGCGTGCCCAAGGATTCCGATACTGCTACACCCGACGACATTGCGCTGTTCTCATCTGGACTCCGATTTGTGCCCTACGATTTGGATCTTGTTGTCATAGGATTACTTCATTCAGACATGATGAGCGATTGTGGCAGAGTTACTCGCATTATGTGCATCAATTGCAACATGTGCGTTAATACACTGCGTCGATATCGTGCTTTGGAAGTCGACATAAGAGTTACCACATTACTCTGTAGGTGGGTGTATCAACAAATCGAACAATATGACAGAGCACAATCGCCTAATGTACTGACCATGTCATCATGGATGGCTTTTGATGATAGCCCCTTCTTATGGAGGTACTAATTGACGGCACGCTGCTCGATTTGCTCCATTCGCGGAAATTATGTCCGATTACTTTGTTAATAAATTTATAAAATCACAACTAATTATCGCACACGTTTCGAACTTCACACAATGAACTAGTCTGAACTGAACTAAATAATGTGGGTAGATTTGATTTTTAGAATTGAATGGATCTGTGTTAGGCCGAGCACTTTTCAATCCACCCTCGTATCTTATATTTATCAGAATAATAAATCTATTATAGGTATGGGTCGGCTTTAGTAATCTGCTGCACGATTTAAGTGATCATTTTAGCTTTAGTTGACAGGTAATGATGCTATTGATTACCATCTAGCTGATTTTTATGCCGGAAATCTTTAGTTTTCGAGATATCTTTAATTTTAGTTTTGAGGTTATGTCCATTTAAAAATGATACGAAAACGAAATAACAACATAATTATTTGATAATTTTAGCTTTAGTTGACAGGCAATGACGCTATTAATTATCATCTAGCTGTTTTTTATGCCGGAAATCTTTAGTTTTCGAGATATCGACAATTATAGTTTTGAGGTTATATTCATTTAAAAATGTTACGAAAACGAAATAACAATATAATTATTACAAAGAGATAACAATATATGGGCAAAATAAAAATGTGGGCTCCTTTGTGTGCAATAAAGGAAATTCCAGAGCCCGATCCAGGGTAGCTTGTGGCAAGGGCACCTGGTTAGAAAATATTAAAATGTCATTGCCACGGATATTCTATCTGATGTACTGTTATGCGCATCGCTGGAGCTATGAAGATGCAATCCACGAAGACCCTGAAAAAGATATGGAGGAAGAATGCTTATCTATGGGGACTGTCTGCGATTGGTACAATTACTGCCGGGAGACAGTCGTCATTTACCAAATAGACAACAAGAGGCCATCGGCAAGATTGGTGGCCCAGGAAAAGTAGTCCAAATAGACGAGTCAAAATTTGGAAAACGGAAATATAATAAAGGTAATTTGATTTTCTTATATTACAGACTGAAAGAATATATTTATTTAAAGTTTACTTTTATACTCAAAATATCTTTTAATAAATACATTTGAATACCTTTTAAAGCCAAACTATCTGGAAGAAATCACTTTCAGAGTGGTAAGACAGCCTGTTGTACATATTCTACTATAAAATTTTGTACTTTTGTATTTGTTTTTTTTTTGTAATTTTGTACTGTTGGGTTTTGGTGTACAATATAGAGTAAATAAATAAATAATTATCTTGAATATTTACCAACTCTTAATTGTTTATTGTTGTTTATAGGAAGACAGATTGAGGGCCACTGGATCCTCGGCCTCATTGAGGATGGAAGTGAGGATTTAAGACTAGAGGTGTGCCCTGAAAACATCAGGTCAGCGGACGTACTAGTGCCCCTAATTAAAAACATGTGGTTGAGTGCACCACAGTCCATACCATCTTCTGGACGGCTTATGATTGTTTTGGGGAACATGGGTACATTCACAAGAAGGTGAAACATTCCGATCCTGATAACCCATTTGTTGCCCCTGATGGCACTCATACTCAAAGAATCGAATCGCAATGGCGGGTGGTTTAAAGATTTTTCAGTAAATACAATTATAACCACCCGGAAAACTTTTCAGATATTATTATAGAATATTTGTGGAAAAGGTCAGTGCAAAGAAAAAAAAAGGATCCTTTTATGGAACTAATTAAAGTAATTAACCATGTATATAAATAAATGATTTTATAATATTATAGTACATATTTGGTCGTTTCTTTTGATCAAACCCTAGTGCCAGAAGGTATAAATCATAAAACCGAATCTGTCAACTCCAACTTCCACGTGGTCTTTCCGCTCTTACCCATAGAGTGTATATGAAAATCCGGAAGCGCGGAGGGAATGCAGCTCTCGCCCGCAGCTCACCTGCGCAGCTTCGGCTGTTTGGTCGCCTTCGGCGACCAGCCTCAGCCGCTACGGCTCGTACGCTGCCTGCGCTTAGTTACGCAAGGGCGAAAGGGCTGCACTTCCCGCAGCGCTAGAGCAGAAGCAGAGTAAAAATAGTGTTATTTCCCACCGTTTTTTCCCACCCTGAATACTCCCACATTCCCACCGGGACCCGAATGTGAGTTTTTCGTCGTCGGACGCCCTTTTTTTTATTAAACGAAAGCGAAGTTTCCTTAAATGTAACAAAACTTTAAAAATTCATAAAAAAAAAGGGGGGAGGGTTTTCGGCACTTTTTCCTTTCAGGGGGAGGTTCCGCCCCCTCCCCCCCTCTCCCACCCACTCGGCGACCATATATTCATGCAGCAGATTACTAAAGAAAACCCGTAGGTATGTCCAGCTGAGTTTTTAAAAGATCAATGTTAATTGTTTTAAAATAGTCTGCACCCATTATACATGGTGGAGCCACGTGTTTAAGGCTGCCGAAAATCTAGTTCCCCGGTCGAACCTTAAACCTATTACGCGAGATATTAACTAAAGTGGACTGTATATGCGATTGCTTCTACGCTTACGTAAAAGCGACTACTATAGCATGCGGTACAATGCACTCGCTCTTCCCTAAACTAAAACTATTATTTGCCAAATCGATGAAAGGAACCCTGCTTGATTAGGATAACACAAAGTTGGAGCGGGTTAAAACTATTATCAAGCAGGTATAATAATGGATATTGACTCACCGGGGTTCTTCTATCCTTTAGAGCACTATAGCGACGACTTCCGGAACTTCTTCTGGACAGACACTCTGGGGCCCCAGGGGTGCGTCGGGAGAGAAGCGTTGTAGTTTCAACGACGGCTGCGGCGGGAAGAAGAGCGTTGTAATTTCAACGACGGCTGTGACGGGAAGAAGAGGCCGCGCATCGGTCGCGCGTGCCTTATATATCCTCGGCTCCGATGATTACGCGATGTTCTAGAATCATCTTCTTTCCCCTCCCACCCCACCACCCCGATGTGTCGATAGGAGGGTACGAATGATATCGTTTTGGAAAGGAATAACGATTCGGCAAGTCCTACCGTCATATAAAATAAAATGCGAATGGTTTTCCGCGCAACCATCTCCCCCGCCCTTGAAGGATTTCCTTCAAAAAATAACTAAAACAACTAGAGCTAAGATCAACTAACAAATAACTAACTAACGCTAAG